TGTGAGGGTGGGCAGGCCCTGGCACAGGTGGCCCAGAGAAGCTGTGGCTGCCCCATCCCTGGAAGTGTCCGAGGCCATGTTGGACAGGGCTTGGAGCAACCTGGGCTAGTGGAAGGTGTCCCTGCCCATGGTAGACCTTTAAAGATTCCTTCAAACTCAAACTATTCCATGATTCTCTAGCTAAAGATGCCTTTGAAGAGAAAAGAAATTAAAATATTTGGCTCCCACATAGGCCTGGGGCGTTAAGTACAGCAATATTTCTGCATTTTTCTCTTCATGAACAGTACATTGCCTTTGATCTCTTTCACTGTGGTAATATGACAAATTTAGAGCTTTATTTCTTTTGTGTTCTGGGGCAGAGATGCCCTCTGCATCCTCTAGATAAGTGGCAGGGTGGGAAACAAGGCAGATATGTTTAGTTTTTTTCTGCCAAGAGTTTGTCCTTGACTGAGAATACTCCCTCCCAGCTGCATTAATGACTTGTGACTCTTCACTTGCAGTGCCTGAAGACATACACAGGACACAAAAATGAGAAGTACTGCATATTTGCCAATTTCTCTGTTACTGGTGGCAAGGTTGGTGATTATTTGTGCCATTTTTACTGCTCTTCTTTGTAGATAAAACAAATTTAGGGCTGGAAACCTCTTTTGGTGGGTGCTGGTTCACAGGTGTCGGTGTCTCTAGGTGGGCCCTCTGTCCCATTGCAGGCTCCCTGACTTTTCCTCCTCTTCCCTTTCATATGATGACAATGAAATATTTACTGTTACAGATTAAAATAACTGTGTTTTCTCTCTGCCCCTCCAGTGGATCGTGTCTGGGTCAGAAGACAACCTGGTTTATATTTGGAACCTTCAGACAAAAGAGATTGTACAGAAATTACAAGGACACACAGGTGTGGAAGAGGATTTTGTATTTATTGATGGGATATCCCTCATGTCAGCTTGTAATGAGGGCTTAGCTTGAACATTTTCTCTCTGATGTTTAGTTTTGACTGTCAGACCCATAAATTTTTGGCTGGCTGAAGCTTAATTGAACCCTGGGAGTTTGCTCCTTTTTATGAAGGGGTTTTATGGGCATTGAAAGTATTTTATTCTTTCACTGTGAGAACTTTGCCATCAGCTTGCAAAAGAGATTTCCTTGAGGACAGACCTGGTCAAGATAATTAAGTGACTCATAATGTTAGTGACTTTGAATTGCTTTGGAACACCTTCCAGAGCTGCAGCTATCAAGGATGAGGGTGATGAGGACTGTAAATGTCCGTACTCTTCAGACAGACAAACTCTGCCTGGTCCTGAAGGCAGAGCTGAGATGTCACCTGATGGATAACTAAGTCTGAGTCTTAAGAAAGAGCAGTTTTAACTGTGCCAACTAAAAGAGGCTGTGCTGTGACACCTCAGCGTCCTCAGTCCTTTGCTTTGGGCTACATTCCATGGATTTGGGCTGTTTTCCATTGGTTTAGACTGTAAGTGGGGGCAGTGGCAGCAGGTTTTCATTTTCTGGCTAGTGCAAGGCTCTGAAGATGAAGTGCTACCTGAGCATTGACTGGGATGTTGGAAATACTTTACATGACAAGAAAAGAACGATCTGGGTTTTGATGAGCTGTGTGAGACATAAGATATAAGCAGGAAGTAGAATGTAAAGAGTGCTTACATTTTGAAACCTGTCAGACACTTTCCAACTACTGCTCTTAATTCTTTTTTACTTGTACTTTCTCTCACAGAGGAGCTACAGTTTTAAAATATTTACAAATAATGCAGTGAATTCTGCTACAAGGAAATAACAACCTGGCTTCGCTGTTTTAGTAATAACTTGGCTTTGCTGTTTTAAAACATGGTAGCAACACATGTTAATTTTCAGAAGTGCCTGACATATGAACCAGACTTCATTGCTGCAAATAATTGTGGCTTTATATCTTCTTTTTTTCTTAGATGTTGTCATCTCGACAGCCTGTCACCCAACAGAAAACATCATCGCGTCAGCGGCACTAGAAAACGACAAAACAATTAAACTGTGGAAGAGTGACTGTTAAATGTTCCAGGATTGCTTTAGAGACTGTCAGGAAAAAAAAAAAAAGTGTTTTTTAAAAAAAAAATTACTAAAAAAAAAAACCAACCAAACAAACCACCCATAAATCCAGTTTGGCAGGAAACCTGAAGAATATTTGACAAAGTGGTTTCTGTTAGTCTTGGCCCAAAGAGAACGTTTTAGCTCTGCTAGAGCCGGGCAACGTGGTGGGAAAAAAAAAAAAAAAAGATGCAGTGTCTCCTTTTCTTGCCTAATGTTTTGGCAGACAAATGGATCGTTCTGACGTCGGGTCAGAAGTGTCAGCCTTGTCTTGGACACCCCAAAGATACTGTACTTTTATGGTGGCATTGCTTCTGGGCACTGATGCTGCTTCAGGAAGACCTGCCAGCCTACTTTGTACCAGTAAGTTAAGTCACGAGCCTAGAGATGTGTGGAATTTTTTTAAAATGTCTAATTTTTTTTTATTATTATTTTTTTAATTTTTTTTTTTCCAGAATATAGGTTCTAGTCTCTTGGGAAGTTTCTGTATTGTTTTAAATAGGAGTACTGCATCTTTAAGGGTGCTTCATTTTAAACACTCAGTTCAAACTTTGTGACCAAATAAAACCATGCAGTTCCAGATTTCCCTCTTCCTGCCCCTGACTTGACTCCTGTGGTGGAATCTCTTACCTTCTGTATAGTTGCTTACCTCTTGTTACGTGTGTTTAATAGATGCTGTTCTAGAGCAAAGTTACAGTTCTTCTGTTAACCATTAAAATGAATCCTGCTTGTAGTTGTTCTCAGCATATTTTAATTTTTATTTTTTTGTTTGTTCTCTTCTGGTTCTAAAGCAACGCTCACAGAACACTGTAAAGTTATTTCAATGTAAAAAGAAACAACCCCCCCAGACTTTTTGTATCTTGGAAATCCATCGTATGAAGCTGTATTGCTAATGGCATGACTCTGTATCTATCGCAGCGTTGGTATTTCTTTCCCTTTTTGTCATACCCGTGTGGTATTTACACACTCAAACAACAACAAAAAAAAAATACCATATGCCATAATAAAAAGGTGGGATTTTATGTGTATGCTTGTGGTAAGAGTGTGCTAATGTGAAGTGTCTGTGTCCATAAAGCTCCCCTTAAAAACACCTTGAGAGGGAAGTGTTTCTGTAGCAGCTCCAGTGAGGGAGGAGGAAGAACAGCAACAGCAACGTGGTGCTCTACATCAGTTGTGGAGAAATAAAAAGGAGCACAAGTCAAAATTTATTCAATAAGAGGATTCAAGTGAAGGTGTCCTCAGCAGAGACAACATTAGTACAGACATTAGTACAGCCCCTCGCAGAGAGCTTTAGCCAGGGGAAAGGAATCCTGCTGCCTTCTCCTTGCAGGCTGAGCAGGGATCCAGGATTGAGCTTGTGCTGGTTAAGAAATGCATGGAGGCACAAGTTTATTGCACCCAGAGGGTTCTGCTGGAAGGGGATGTTTTGTTCTGGTGCAGCAAAGATCCATTTTTTTGGTATTGACCTCATGCTTGGTAATCACAGAAAATCAATTACAGTACAGACCTCTGTAGTGCTGCCCTGAGGCTGCCTGGCTTTGCCCTTAGAGGAAAAGAGCTGCAAGACATGAGGTATAGCTTTTCTTTTTGCTCATGGTTGAGCTGGTGCTAAAGTGGCTATTAATAATATCACTGGCTTTTGAAGCTTTTCATTACCTCCAGGAAGGGACACTGTGTGTCTAGACTTAGTGAGCGTCACTGCTCAAATGATCAATCCATGATTTTTTTTCAGTCTTTTTCTTGCAGGCCAGTGGAACCTTTCAGTGCAAGATGGGGCTGTGCTGCTTTACAGTGTGGAGAAGACGGTATTTTACTCCAGCAGAGCATTTTAATGTAGATTCAGAAATATTTTCTGGCATAGTACTTCTCGTGTCTCTGTGTCTGAGTGGCTTTGCCCAGCTGTGCTGTGGCTTTCTCTGCCCTCTGAGCCAAACAGCTGTGGAGAAGGGAGATGATTTTCCTGCTGTCAGGAGGAAATCCCTTGAACAGCAGGTCTAGTGGAGCCCTGATGTAAAGGATCTACTGGAAAGCTGTTCTGTGTAAAGGTTATGTTTAAATCCTTAATATCCCACCTGGGATTAATGCTGGGGCCTATTGCCATGAGCTCTACTTAGCTATAATGATATGCAGCCTGGCGTGGCTTTGGGGTTTGAGGGCTGGGATCAGCTAAAGCAGAGCGCTGAAAAGAAGGTTTGTGGCTGGGCTGTGTGTGGTAAGGGAGGTGTAGCTTTGTGTTAGGTGCAGGCTGAGAGAGGGCGAGCTTGCTCTTAGGCGATCTGGTGTTCTGGGCACGTTTGGGCTGAGGGGAAAAAGGAGAAGGCGGGTGACAAAAACCTTTGGGATTTTAAGGTTCGCCCCTGCATAAAAGGGCAAGTCGAAAAACATGGTTAGATGCCACGAAGTAGGTGGCAGTGCCTTAACCGTATGTGTGTTGTACAGGCCACTAGGACCTCTTCCATCCTTATCAAGGGGAGTGCTAACCTTCTCTCCTTTCATACAACACGCTAATGAGGTGGCTGGCACCGGTATTTAAACCCCATCAAACCATTGCTCTAAGGACAGAGCGAGGAAAAGTTAGTGTTTTCTTTCATATCAGTTTGACAATTCTTTTTTTTCCCCATATTTTAGATTTACTTTGATTCCACCACGGCTATAAATCCCCTAAAAAGACCCGGTAAAACATCGCAAACGAGCGCGTTCTCCTACCTTCTTAATATATTCATCGCACCCAGCCAATCAAAGCGCAGCAGCCGCTCCTCTTTGACTGCCCTCTGGCGGGCGGGCGGGCGCGCTCGGGGGCGGTGCTCCCGTTTCCGGTGGGCGGGCCCGGGTGCGCGGGTTCGAGTCCCGCCTCGGACGGGGCGGAGTGCGGGGCGGTGCCTCTGGATGCTCCCGGCCGCCCGCCCGCGGGATGAACTCCCAGCGGGATTTGCCGGCGGACCCGCCTCATCTGCGCAGGGTTCGGTCGCCCCGCTGCGTATCCCGCGGGTTTAAGTCGGGAGCAGGAGTGTACCGGGAGGTTGGCTGATGGAATCTCCCGCGGCCGAGGGAAGGCGGCCTGTTCCCGGCGTATTCCCGCTGCCCCGGGAAGTTAAATCTCTCCAAATTCCATCAGAGCTAGTGACGAGTTACAGGTTCCAGACGTGGAAGCGGCCGAAGAGGTTGGGTTGTTTTTTCCTCCCTTTTCTCGAGGCCTTTCTCCTCTGCATCCCAAAGGGATAAAATCAGATAAACATCTGGCTAAATCAGCACTGCCACTCCTCAAACCGGCGCTGGGATTCGATGTTCCTACCGGGATTAACCCCATCCCAGCATCCCGCTGCCGGTCCCACCGACCCCGGGTTTCCTGCACCGTGACATCCCTCGTCCCCGCCGACTCTCGCAGACCTTCCCGCTCTGTTCCCGGCAGGAAGGACCAGCCGGTGCCCTGTGCCGCTGGCAGAGGAGCCGCTTTGCCGGCTGAGGCTGCGGAGCCAGGTGCAGCGCCCAGAGGTGTGCGTGGCCCCGGCCCCGCCAGCTGTGCAACATCTGCCGCATCACGGCGTCACAGAACGGTTTGGGTTGGAAGGGACTTCACAGCTCATCCCATTCCCACCCCCTGCCATGGGCAGGGACACCTTCCACTAGACCAGATTGCTCCAAGCCCAGTCCAAGCTGGCCTTGAACGCTTCCAGGCATGCTACATTGCTGCTGCAGAGCCCAGGCTCTTCCTGGCCACCCCTTCCACATATTGATGAGTTTATTAAGGGATTAAAAGTTAGTTTCCCCTCCTTATTGAATGCTCTGATTTATGCATGCGTTTAAATCAATCCCATTTCCTGCGTTTTATCCTTTCTCCTCCAGGCTTTCAGGCTTTAACTGTGTCAGACATTTGTTACAATCACATTGTTTTGAGGCAAGCGAGACACCCTGGGTGGTTTAAGGGATTTGAATACATGAGCTGCGTTACTTGGGTGCACCTCCCAGGTGCCAATTGCCCTTCCTGAGCTGTAGATGCCCCTACTTGGACCAGTTTATTCTGCCTCCCGGTGAAATATTGATAAGGTTGCGTGCTAATTGAAGATGCTGTTGGAGATTAGGTCCAAGCCTGCCTGTCTGGGAGCTGTGCCTGGCAGAGGAGGTGCCCAGTGGGCTGGAGTGCCCAGGGTGGGGGATTTCAGGTGCTGCTAGCAAGCGGTTGCTGGATGAGCTACATAAGCAGCTTATTTTGTCATTTTAATTTTTTAATCCCATGCATTTGGTCGCGCTCTCTTATTAGTAAGCATTAGCTCTCCAAGTCCCATTAGCTCCGCTGAGAGCTGAGGCTTTGCCTATGGGGACAGTGGTGGAGGAGCCAACAGGGGTCTGGGGGTTCTGATCCTGCAGCTGGTGACATCTGTGGTGTCCCATGTGAATGTGGGTCCAACCCTGGCCCTGAAGACCCATCACAGCTCAGTCCTTTCCTCCACTGCACCCCTGTCCCCTTCCCAAGCCCCCAGCAGCCCCAGCTCCCTCCAGAACCAATCCCAGCCTGGGGCTGGCTCTGTTTGGTCTCTCCCTGCTTTATTAAGGCAACTATTTCCTTGCATGTAAATACACACACTACATTCAAACCCTCTCTCTCCACAAGGTTTTCCCTTTAACCCCACGGCCATCCCCAGGGCTGTACTTTGTTAGAGGATCTCAAGTGTCGGATTTAAAATTAGTTGACTGCTTCTCTTTAATAAAATTATTCCTGCCCTCTTTAAATAGCACAATATGTCACAGAAAGCCGGTGGGTCCGTTCATGAAGATGAGGCAGCTCAGAGAGGAAAAAGAGATGGGAAAAAAAAAAAAAAAAGTAAAACCATACATCTCCCCAAACCCCTTCTGCCTAATCCAACTGAATTAGAGGATTTCGAAGTGGATTTAAAACTAAATCTTGATTAGGGAGAATTTCTCTCCAAGAGCTGCTGCACGGTGGTATTAATGGGAAGTGATCGTGGACAGAGGAAATAGGACAGAAATAACTGAGGGTAGCACATACGCACTCAGGTCTGTGCATGGACTGAAAGAGTCAGAGAATTTCTCAGGAGGAAAAGGGAGAAATTAAGCACCGACATAAGGAGACTGGGTGCCACGGGGCTGGCTGGAGAAGCTTGGAGCAGCCAGAGCCCTGCTGCACCGACGGCATCTCCCTTTATCCCGGCGGGGAGGTTTGCAGGTGGAGAGGAGGCGACGAGCACGGCTGGGGAAAAGAGCTTGGAGGAGAGGAGACCTCTGCCCACTCCCCCAGACCCCGGTGTTCATCCTCTGAGCCCTGGGTGGACTCCAGGAGCTGACCCCCATGCTCTGCAGACACATGCCTGGAGGTGCCCATGGGATCCTCTCTCTGATGACCGTGGTGTTCGTCCTTCCAGAGGGTAAGTGCTGCTGTTCCCGGGGTGTGGTGTGTACCCCACGCTTTGGAGTCTGGTTTGCATCCTCCCTAAACCCTGGTTGTTCAGGTGTGTTTTATCCTTGGGATGAATTTGGGGTTATTACTGCCCTAAGCAATACAGCTGCGTGTTGGTGGGTTTAGGACAGAGCTGAAATCGTCACGATTTGTACGAAAGGGCAGTGCGGCAGAATTTGGGATCTCCTGGACTCCCCTTCCCAGGTCTGGACCGGGGCAGGGACTTCCCTCACCGTGCCTGGGTGTGTGAGGGTCTCACCCACCTCCCAAAAATCCCGTGGGAGCAGAGGAGGCCAGGCTCAGGAAGGGCTCTGGGTCAGCATTTGGAGGTGAGGAAAGGTAACGGCAGCAATAAGTGCAACCTAATCAAATCAACACAGGGGTTGCCTTAAACTCTGTGGACAGTGTAAATTGATATTGTTGGAGGCCTTTTTTTTTTCCTTTTCTTTTTTTTTTTTTTAAAGAAACCTAAGAAATGGCTTAATTCCCAATCTGGCAATTCTCAGACACAGCCGCTGACCCTGCAGGGAAGGACTGAGCTGCCGCCAGTGCAAGTGTGCAAAGCCCTGGGGACACACTGAGGCCACTGTCCCGGGGTCACAGTGCTCTGAACGAGGATTTCCCTTCTGTTTCTGAGCTGGTTTGCCTCCCTGATAGAACCTGTGATAAAATCAGCACTGTGTTCAGGGAGAAAACCAAACCACTCTGATGAAACCATCCCTCTGGAGCGAATGCCTCCAGCAGGGGCACAACTAAACTGGAGAAATTTGGTGAAAAGGGGAAAAGCTGTTTCTGAGCACAACTGAGCCTTGACTCAGTGGTATCCATCATTTTGAGGTTTCACCTGCTCTTAACACCCCCTATTTCAAAGCTCCCTTGTTCCCACTGTTTGATCCCAGCGCAAATCTCTGGCTAATCTCTGATTTTGCACTGACCTCTAGTGGGAGATGATTGTGTATTTTTGAGCCCACCGGGTAAACAAGTGACAGGCAGCTCCGGGCTCTTGTCTCAGCGCTTAATGCAACTTGGCAAGGCAGAGAGCGCTGCGAAGCCGTCGTTAGAGAGCAGCTCGGAACGAGCTGAAGCATTTCCCCCCCTGGAAAAATCCCGCTGTGTTTCTTACGGTTCTTGTTTAGTGTCTGGACTCCAGTGCTATGGCTGCAACATCGTGGTTGGCACCAAAAACGTGGACATGGGGTGCTCTAACCCCGAGGTGATCACCTGCTCCCAGTCCCACCAGGGCTTCAAGCACCGGTTCTGCATTAAGACAGAGAGCGGTGAGTCCGCCCGTGGGGCGCAGGGTGGAGCTGGTGATGCTCACACCTCAAATCCACCCTCGCAGCCCCCAAGCAGGGCCTGTCCCCGTTTCAAAGCTGGCAGAGCCTCCCCCTCCACCCTGCCCGTCACCCTGACGTCAACCCCGTCCTGTTGCTTGCTTTGCAGTGGTCCTGGGCATCCTGCTGACCAGCGGCTGTGCCACCTCCCGCCACTGCCAGCAGCAGGAGCTGCCGGGCGTCCGCATCCACTGCTGCCACACCGACCTCTGCAATGGCTCCCCCAGAGCCCCCCGGCCGCCCCCCGGCCTGGCGGGCGGCCACCTCCTGCTGCCCTGCGTCCTTGCTGCCCTGCTCCTCTCCTGAGCGCCCCGGGGCTTGGGGGGATGCGGGGGATCCTCGTGGGATGGGTGCTGGGAGCAGGGATGCCCCCATCGCTGCTCCTGCGGGCGGGCAGGACGCCCTCCTCTCCCCTTTCCTCAATAAAATGTGCCGAAATGTTTCGCCCTGGGAAGGTTTCGGTGATGCCCGGCGGCGGCGCTGCAGCCCGGGGAGGATCGGGGATGGTCCTCCGGGCTCGGGGAGGGTCGGGGTACCCGCAGCGGCCTGGGGCTGGGGAGCGCAGGGTCGTGGGGGTATATCCATGTTCCCACGGGGATCGGGAGCGCGGCCGAGCCCGGCTCTTCCCACGAGAGGGCATCCGCGGCCCTCGCTCCGCATCCCGGCCCGCCGCGGGGGCTTCGGGATGCAGGGATGGAGCACCCACGCAGGGCAGCATCCCCAGCGGGATGGGGTGGGCGATGGGGTGGGAGAAGAGGGGCCCGAGTGAAATGAGCGCTTTTTTTTTCAGACATTATCCCGGTCGAAGAGGCCAAACGGGAGTTTTAAGGGAAAAATCCCCTCCCGTAAGGATCGGAGCCCAAGTGGCTCGTCCAAGGTCATCGCGGGGGTTTGCGGCAGAGCTGGGAATTAAACTCACATGTCTCAAGAGCCAGCCCTGTGCTTTTATCACCAGGGAAACAGTATAAACCTCCCTGTGAGAAATGGATGAAATGTTTTTATTCTATTTTTTTTTCTTTAGATTAAAAAAAAAAAAAAAAGAAATAATGCAAGAGAGCTTTTCCATGCAAAACATCAGCTTTTGATGACATTTCTCAGATGTGTCAGAAAACAAGCCAAAACTCTTCTAAAAATATTATCTGAGGCACCTTCCCAGCAGAAGCACTTTGGGACTGATACAAAACATGTTCAGATTCTGAAGATTCAAAATAAAAGGAAATAAGAAAACAAATCCTGCAAGAAAAACGACAAGAGCTGCAACACTAACCAATTCCCCCTTTCCCCCCTCCTTAAAACGTTCCTTATGATATTCAGGGGAGCAGGAAACATTTCCTTGGCAGCTGGAGTTATTCTCGCTACTGGTTATTTATCTGCCTGGGCGAGTGCTGTGCTGAGCTGTTGCAAAACCTCCACAGCATCAGCCTGCTCCGGTGTAAATTCCCTTTTATCGGGTGAGGATTGGGATGGGTTCCCAGTGGAGGTGGTGGCAGGGGGTCCTGCCGTGGCGTGGGCCACTTTGCCAGGCAGCAGCATCTTGGGGAGAAGCAAGGGGCGGCCGTGGTCCCTCCATCCCTCCATCCCTCCGTCCCGGTCCTTGTGCCTCCGGCGGGTGATGCTGCTGCCCCCGCTCTGCCCCCCTTGCCCGGCTCGAGCCATCCATCTTGCACCGTGTAAGAGCCCTGTTGCAATTAAGTAGGCTGAAGTGCTCCTGAACTCTTTAACCTTTGCCCTGGGATTGCTCCTTTTGCCCCGGGGCTGTGGATCAGCTCCATTGCACTCTCCAAACAGCGCCTGCTACTTAGCTGACATTTCTTTCTCCTGCTGGATCCTATTAGCACCCTGAGGTTGAAAATGCTACTTTGGAGTGTTGTAAGGAATGTGATTTATACTGGAAAGTAGCGGCAATCTATCTTTCCCTATACACACACACTGCACATGAGGCTGGAGAGCTAAATCCACATCGCCTGAACAAACAGCGACTGGGATAATTGTCGAGGAGGCTTCAGACACGGAGCAGGGAGAGGAGCCTGGGTGGGACGGCACCGGGGCCAGGGAATGCTGAGCTCGGAGCAGCCGGGCGGCAGCAGGGCCCGCTCCCCACTGGGATCCCATCCCCACACCAGTGCAAACCAGTACTGGGTAGCGCTGGTTTCCCAACAGTGCTGAAGACCTGGTTAGGGGCTGCCTGGGCTGGTTGCAAAGGCTCTGGTTGTGGGATCCATTGTGCCCTTCTTCACCGTTGATCCTGTGTCCAGCGAAGCCCAGAGCTGAGCAGAATTCACACTGGTTTGCCTGCATGTGAGTACATATCACGGATAATGCAATCTGCATGGGAAGCAGATGGAAATAAGAATTGAATGGTGCCTGAAGGAGGGCTGATTAGCCTTTATCAGATATGACACGCTAACCACCGAGGCTCCTTGCTGAAATACCGGGTTAAAATCTCTGCAGTGTCAAATTTCATCCTCCTAAGCAAAGAGACACTTTCCATAGTGTTTGTGTGAATCTTCTGGATAAGCCCTGGAGACTGAAACCGTCTCAGCTTCATCTGGGCATTAAAAGTCCCACCCACATGTTTAAAAAAAGCCCCAAACCCAGAAACGCAAAAGCTGACATTTACTCTAAAATGTCTTTTTCTTCCTGCATCGCTGCGTGGCATCCCGTGTGAGCCTCTGCCTTCTCCTTGCTGGAGCAGGGCTGGAGGCATCCTCCTGGGCATTCCCACCGGCTGCCATTCTCCCTGGAAGCTGAGGAATTAGTTTGCACACGCAAAAGTGTGTGCACACACGGACACTGGCACAGTGTTTTCAGGGAGAAAAACCAACTTAAAAAAAAAAAAACCACACCAAAACCCCAACCCTAAGCAGCCTCTGTGTCAAAAGCCCTTTTATAAAAGCCTCAGTAGCTGAAGAATTGCCATTGTTTCGGTCTCCAGTGAGTGCTAGTCTTAAAATATTTCCAGCTCAGAGCAGGCTTTGACATTCTGCCCAGACCCAGGAGAGGGAACAAACACGAGTTCAGAAATGTTTCTACAAGGCACAGATCCTTCTTGTTTTTGGAGAATCACGTTCAGCATCTTGCATCCTGTGGCTATGTCCCCCCAAAGTGGGGGAGACACCACAAAACACCCCCGAAAGCAAGGAGGGGGGAATTTCTTGGGGTTCCCCCTAAGGCAGGGAGAGCTGGGCTGGCTTTCACACCAAGGTGCTGGGGTTTACTTTTTGTGCTTTTTCACTCAACCTTCCCCTCATGAGCATCAAAACCAATTTTTCCCTCAGAAAATGCTTAACTGCTGATGGCTGTGCAGACCTAACTCCCCATCCCACTGGATGCCAGCAGATGGTCCAAAAGTGCAGGCTGTGTAGACTCTGGAAATCAAAGAAGATGGAAAGTTTGCAGTGATATTCATCCCTCTTTAGTCTTTTTTTTTGTGTGTTTAGTGATGCTGGGAGTGACAGAGTGTGGATTTGGGAGCAGGAAGCTCTCAGTGCTTCACTATCTCTATGGAAGGACACAAAAGGGATGGACCATGGCACATGGAAACATAGAATGCTTTGGGTTGGAAGGGACCTTAAAGATCACCCCATTCCAACCCCCCTGCCGTGGGCATGCACTTGCTCCATGTGGTGGTGGGAGCTGGGGTAGGAGGACCCCAGGACAAGGACTTGGTGGGGAGTCACAGCACAGCTCCTTGGGCAATGTTCATGGTTTATCACCCTTCCCTTTCCATCACGTCAAATGAGGAGAGGAGCTGAGATGTAACTCACACTTTTGCCAAGGTTGTTTCCCACCTTCTTGCAAACAATTTTCTGGCAGAAAAGTGGTGCAGAAAACTGCCAGAGCTCTGCAGGCAATTGAGAACTTTGAGGCTGCCCCAGGGTCTGCACGAAGAGGGTGCCCTGGGCTGCTTCAGGAATGCTTCCAAGAGGCTGGATGCTCCGAAGAACACGAGCTAACCTGAGCTTATCTCAGCTCTGAGCACCCCTCATGTTGGATAAAGGGTGGTGTTTACTCAAGAACAATGTGGGGTTAAAATTTAGTAAGTCCTTGTGCAACTCTTTATGGAGAGGCAGCAAGGACAAATAAACATCTCTCAAAACACAGTCAGCACTCAGGCTCACTGTTTAATTCATCCTCCGGAAATGCATCTTGTTTATAGCCATTCATTGCAGGGGCTCGGAGCAGCAGGGGTTTGATCCACTCCAAATTTCAGGCAAAATAATATGATCCTCCTTTTTCTCTTGTTTGTTCTTAGGAGAGAACACAAGGTCAAATCTTCAACTAGAGCAAAGTTTGCTCTGAACTACTGAATATTTTTTTTTTATTTGAGAAAGTTTTTCCTCTGCTCCCTCTCCCTTTCCAGGCCTCCCCCTCCCTCCAGCTCACCAGCTCGGGGGGAGCACAAGGTGCCAGAGGATTTGGGTTTCCTCCTTGAGTGATAAGGGCTTCTAGGAGGAATTTAAGCTGGGTGGCCAAACCAGCTTCCAAGGTTGAAAGTTAGGATGCCTCTTATCTACTCCACTCCCATGGAGAGACAAGCAGCAGAGCAATCACGTGTGGGAGATGCAGCTCCCTCCTCCCAGGGGATGCTGCAGTGGGGCCCCACAGAGAAATCCCCTGCTCTGGGAGCTGGTCCAGCCCCATCCATTTCATAAAGATGAGTGGGAGCAGTGCCAGCTTTATTGACAGAAGGCCATGAACTGGGTCATGCTGCCCATCTCCCCTCCCAGCACCAGGCTCTCCCTCATGCACGGACACACAGGGAGCGTGATGCTCGGGGGGATGTGCAGGGCACTGTGTCCGTGCTGGTCTGGGAGCTGCACACCCACACTGGCTGTGCTCAGATGAGCCCAAAGCCTCAAAGCAATGCTCTTCCTCTCTGGGACGAGAGCCAGGGCTGCTCTCTGCCAAGGGCTGGGCACTGAGGGGGCTGCATGGAGGGAGAAGGGGGATCCTTGTTCAGTTTAATAACTAGGTGACAGTGCTGGAGCCAGTGATGTGGCTGACCTACATACAGCCCAGAGCCCCTCTGAGCACAATCGATCCATTGGCAAGAGACAAACCACAGCCTGGGGGAGGGCCTGTCCCACTTCATCCAACCAGCATGGTCCCCCGGTCAGATGGGAGCTGGTGGAACCACGGCCATGTTGTGGTGTCAAAGCACCAGGATGAAGCCACACGGCAGCATCTTGTCCCCCTTCCTGGACACCGTGTGCATCTCCCAGCTCCAGCATCCCTCCCTCGCACCCTCCATGCTCAACAGCCCTGGCACAGAGCAACCTGCCCCACAGACATGTATTTTGGGATGTTCTCCTCTGGCAGACTTGCAGGGGCTTCTGGGAGGGAGAGGCATTGAGTTGAACGTGCCCTTGGGGACACCTCTAAGCGATGCACACAAGGATTTGGCTGCCAAGA